AGAGAAATTAATTAGAGAAATTTTAGGGTCATATGTTAAGTAGCAGAGCTTAAGCACAAAGTCAGGTCAGACGCACTCCCTACTGAACCACAACTGCCATTCAACATCACAGCTTCTCTGAGAGGATAGGAGGTTCAGAGTTCCTAGTAAATGACCTTTTTCCTAGATCAAAAAGTTTCCAACCCTTCCTCTGATCCCAAATTTCACATACAGATAAAATCTGTTTAAACAGCCCATTTGATGACTTTGGGCACCCTCGAAGCAGAAATGAAGTCTCAAAAGGCCAACGACCAGGAGGAGGTATGAAAGGGAACCACCAAAATCAAGGAGGTGAAGAGCTTGTGTGTTCTAGTGCCTCCTTCACCCCAGCTTCCTTTAAGCACCAGAAACCATCTTTTACATTTCCTTCATGTCCTCTCCTCCAGGTCAACAATGCCACCATAAAAATAAAATGTCCCTCAATGTCTGTGACAGAATGATCACTCCTTTTCTGTCCCTTATGGAAGGCTTTTCCAGGTTTAACTCCTTAATGTAATACATAAACCTGTAGACCCTTCTTTAAAAGAAATACATCCTGATTACTTTTCCTTTTGTCATTCCTCTCTTTGCCTCTGTACTTCTTGGCATCCCTCTACCTTTTCCAAGGGTCACAGGGTCTGTCATAGCCCAATTCTGCTCTCTATTCCTCTCCTTTTTAAAAGTACAAGCATGAGCCAGGTGCAGGGTGCATCCCTGTAATCCCAGCAGCTCAGGAAGCTAAGGCAGGAGGATGGCAAGTTTGAGGCCAGCCTCAACAACTTAGCAAGACCCTCAGCAATTTAGGGAGATCCTGTCTCAAAGTAAAAATAAAAAGGACGGGACATGTAGCTCAGTGATAAACTGCCCTTGGGTTCAATCCCCAGTAAACCTCCCCACCCCACCAATATAAACAATGCCATCCCTAATGTGTTATGAAGTGCTGTACCCTAGGATACTAAGTGGAATAAAAGTGAAATTTGTGTGCTCAAGGAAACTAGTCTAACTTAAAATCCCACAGTGTGAATTATTTCACACAAAGATATTTACCAATTGACAGTGCAGAGGAGGGAGCAATTAACTCTTCTAGAGTAGTGTCAGGAAAGTATTGAAGTGGATCTAAAAGAGAAGCAGGGATCCAAAAGACAATATGTATATTCTTTTAACTTGTTTCTTTTTTAAGCAAACATGTAGGAATATCTCTATGAGAAGCCTGTCAGAAGCACTGGAGCTACAGGTGAGTGAGGTCCCTGATCTCAATAAGCCTTCAGGCTAGAAAAGGAGTTTCTAAACATACCCTAATAATAGCGATATAATGCATGTTATGCCATGGAAAAAGTTATAGAACAAACTTCCAGAGGAAATGGCAGAGATCATTTCATTTCTCACTAGATGTAGTAGGTACAATTCTAAGATGATCCCCAAGATTCCTGGCACCTGGTGCACATGTGAATAATGAGCTGTGACTGTGGTGAATTTTACTCCCTTGGTTGTTGTTCAGTACTCTTTCTAGGCTGTTTCCATGTTGTTACCTATTTTTAGGCTAGGTGATACAGCACAGTTGACCTGAAAGCAGGGAGAGCATCTGAGTGATCCTGACTTAGTTACCTGTCTTTTCAAAGCTCAGAGTAACCTCTGATTGGTTGAAGAAGGGAAGTCAGAGAGTTCCAAAGGATGAGATGGGTTCAATATGAGAGAGGTTCTCTGTTGAGCTAAAGGAGACCTCCTTGTAAGGACCTGAGAGTAGGCAGTGAACAAGAAAATGAGGATCTCAGTCCTATGGCGACAGGGCAATGAATTCTGCCAGCAACTTGCAGACCTCTCCTTTGAGCCTCCAGACATCTTGAGTTCAGCCTTGTGACACTGAGCAGAGAACCCAGCCACATGACTCCAGGGTTCTAAGCTCCAGAACTATGAACTAGTTAGCTCTAAGTTTGTTTTAATTTGTCATACAGCAATAGAGACTAAGATGAACACTAATGACACTGTGTTCTCCTGTTAACATACTTGCTTTCTCAACTAAGCTCCTTGGTTTCAAGTTTATCTAATTAATTATTTTGAAACCCAGTTGCTAATATGGAATGAAAGTTTAAATGAGACACAGTAATGCAGTTTAAGATTCTGTCCATTTTCTTTTCCCAATCATGCATAGACTGACACGGAGACTAATACTTGTACTGAAGGAGGAGGCTCGCTTCCAGCCAATTGCACCACGGCCTAGTCCAGAGACAAAGTAGGGAGGCCAGACTCCCCTGCCCAACCTTGGCTGACGTGGACTTCCCTCCCAGGAGCGTTGCTCACAGAGGATCATAATCAGGACCCCCTCGTGCAAATAGAAAGCTGCCAGGTTCTAAATGATATTCATAACCCACTCCACACTCAGCACAGCAGAAGTCTCAGGATTTAGATTTCACTTAACATGTTAGCTGTATGTGAAAGCCAAACATACATATTTTTTGAACAGCCAAACTGGAAGTCTTTGAACCTCATTTATTGATTTTTTTTAAATTTGTAAATGGACACACACAATACCTTTTATTTTATTTATTTTTTATGTGGTGCACAGGATTGAACCCAGTGTCTCACACATGATAGGCAAGTGCTCTACCACTGAGCTACAATCCCAGCCCTCATTTATTCATTTCTTGTAAAACATTTTATATTTTAATATGAAAGAGAAAAGGGTGACTTAATGACCATGACTATTTAGGAATAGTTAAAATCCCTGTGGACTCCTTCCTGATGATATCTCCACTCCCAAACCCCCAAAGAGAGTCACTACCTAGTCACTACCTACTTTGGTGTTTATTGTTTTCATTATATTTTGATCATATGTGTGTGTGTGCCCCTCAACAAAACTGGCATTGTTTTATTTTAAAACTTGAAGTGGCATCCTACTGCTCATCCTTTGGTTGTTGATCAGTACTCTTTCTAGGCTGTTTCCATGTTATTACCTATAGCTCAAGACGGAGGGTTGGAGAAATTTTCTGTAAAGGGCCAGTTAGTGAATGTTTTAGGTTTCATGTGTCATAAGGCCCACTGTAGCACAAAGGCAAGCAAGCTAAGTTACAAGAAAACTTTCCCGTATAATTTTCCTATACCATGAAATATTACTCCTCTTTTGGTTTTTTTAAGCATTTAAAAATGTAAAAATCAATCTTAACTCCTAGACAGAATGCAAATAGAAGAAGGGACAGATTTGGCCCAAGGAACATTATTTGTCAATCCTGCTCCCAAACATTTATTTTCT